GTTAAACTCTCAATTCCAAATTTTTCTTGAATCCAAATTCCACCATCTGCCATGGTGGGATTCATACACTGGTCCTGAGAACATTACATGGGTCTCTGGGTTTATTTTCTAATAATAATTTAACTAGGCCATCACTGGGCTAGTAATCAAATCTCAGGCTAGGGTTCTGGAGATATATGTTTGAATCTTGCCATGGTTGCTGGTGAAATTTAAATTCAATAAAAATGTGGAACAAAAGCTACCTTGATGAACACTGTCAATTAACATAAAGAAAAAAAATCCACTTGGTTCACAAATGCCCTTTAGGGAAGTAAATTTGTTGTCCTTACTCATTCAGGTCTGCATGTGACTTCAGGCCCACAGCAATGTGGGTGACCGTGAATTGCCCTTTGGGGAAATGGAGTCGACAATAAATGCTGACCTAGCCAGTCACACTCATGCCCTCACATGAATCTTTTTTAAACCCTTCAGGATCTTATACATTTCAACCAAATTATCTCTTGCTCTTCTAAACTCCAGTAGAAACATGTTTGATATGTGTCCAACCTTTCCTCACAAAATAACTCACTCATCTCAAGTGTTAGTCCAGTAGTCTCTCCAAATTGCCTTCAACACACTTACATCCTTCCTCAGATAGGGAGACCAACACTCCACACAGTATTCCAACTGTGATTTCATCAGTTCGCAACAAACAACTGCACCTCCCAGTCGCGAACCATTTCAACTCCCCCTCCCATTCCTCAGACGACATGTCCATCGTGGGCCTCCTGCAGTGCCACAACGATGCCACCCGAAGGTTGCAGGAACAGCAACTCATATTCCGCTTGGGAACCCTGCAGCCCAATGGTATCAATGTGGATTTCACAAGTTTCAAAATCTCCCCTCCCCCCACCGCATCCCAAAACCAGTCCAACTCATCCCTGCCTCCCTAACCTGTTCTTCCTCCCATCTATCCCCTCCTCCCACCTCAAGCCGCACCTCCATCTCCTACCGACCAACCTCATCCCGCCCCCTTGACCTGTTCCGTCCTCCCTGGACTGACCTATCCCCTTCCTAACTCCCTACCTACACTCACCTTTCCTGGCCCCATCCCCGCCTCTTCGACCTGTTTGTTTCCTCTCCTCTATCCCTCTTCTATCCGCCTCCCACTCTCTCCCTATTTATTTCAAAACCCCCTTCCCCTCCCCCTTTTCTGATGAAGGGTCTAGGCCCGAAACATCAGCCTCTCTGCTCCTATGATGCTGCTTGGCCTGCTGTGTTCATCCAGCCCTGCACCTTGTTGTCTCGGATTCTCCAGCATCTGCAGTTCCTACTATCTGTGATTTCATCAGTGCCCAGTATAACCTCCCTATTCTTGTATCCAATTCTCCTCACAATAAACAATAACATTCTGTCAGCTTTCCCAATTACTCACTGTCCAGCATACTAGCATTTTGTATTTCATACATTACAATATTTAAATTCTTTTACATTTCAGACACTGCTTTATTTAGAACAAAATGTATTGGATAAATAGTTGAAAAGGAATAAGGGCAATGAATAAACATCGAGGGTACAGAATTTATTGGAGAGTTATTTCAAAGAGCTAACCTGGACTCGATGGGCTGCAAGATATCTTTCTATATGGTTCTATGAATTTAGTAGTTGTTCCTTGCCAATGCCATTCACAATGGTGGGGTCAGCTCCTATATGGATACTGAAGAGAGCCAGGTCTGACTCTTTACTAACACACCTGGCTCACTGTTTCTATGCTGCATGACTGGGTCATATACATCAGTATGTGTGCTGTATATCCTACATAACCCAATGAAGATTTATTAGATGTATAAGCAGAAGTAGGCCATTCAACCGGTCAAGAGATCATGGCTAATCTAATAATCTTTGACTCCACTTTCCTGCCTTTTCCCCATAACCCTTACTACTTAAAAACCTGTCTATCTTGGATATACTAATGACACATCCTTGACAGCCCTCTGTGGTAAAGAATTCCACAGACTTACTACACTCTAACAGAAGAAATTACTTCTCATCTCTGTTTTAAGTGTGTGAGCCATTATTCTGAGATTATTCATCTGGTCCTAGACTGTCTCACAAGGGGAATCGTTTCAGCATGCACCCTGTCGAGTCTTGTAAGAACCATGTATACTTTTATCATGGATAAGCAACTGTTAAATTTTAAGAATTGAAAAGCCAACTCTCCCTGTGGCTGGCCAGGGCCCAAGCCACCTACAAAACCAATCAATAAAGATTCGTGTTTAATGACATCAATTACTACTTTGGAAAAATGGATCAAAACTAGGAGGAGATGTCAAAATCCCATAAGTAATTCCAAAAACTTTACTCTCTTTGCATTGAAATCTCAGTGCTGGAATTTTACAAATTGAATATTTTTTTTAAAAAATCACAATTAAAATATGTTTTGAGATAAAATTATTGTCTTCCACTCCCTCCACCACCAATACTCAGTAGCAGCAGTGTGTACTATCTACAAGATGCACTGCAGAAATTCAAGAAAGCTCTTCAGACAGCACCTTCCAAACCCACATCCACTTCCATTTAGAAGGACAAGGGAAGCAGATACATGGGAACAACACCACCTACAAGTTCCCTTCCAAGCCATTCACCATCCGGACATATATCACTCTTCCTTCACTGTCGCTGGGTCAAAATCTTGAAATTCTCTCCCAAAAAGCATTGTGGGTCAACCTAAAACACATGGGCTATGGCAATTCAAGAAGGCAGCTCATCACTACCTTCTCAAGGGCGACCAGGGACAGGCAATAAGTGCTGGCCCAGCCATATCCCATGAGTGTGGAAAATAACTAAATCATCAATCCTTCATTGTCTGTTGGTCAAAATCCCAGAGATCTCTTTCATCAGCACTATGGGTATATGTATACCAAATGGATTGCAGCAGTTCATTAACAGTGCAGTCAGTCTGTAATAAATTCTTGATCAAACCGTGGTGTATGAACATTAGATGTATGTATGAATCCTCACCGCTTCTTGATTGATTAGCATGTTAATGTTGTCTTGCACAGTTGAAGCGAAATTATCTTTTGGTTAAAAGCAGTACCAGTTTAATCCATTAGAGGGCAGCAATCATTTACAGTGCTTGATAAAAATTGAAAGGGGGATGCTTTGAACCAAACAATAGTGGAAGTTGCTGGAGAAACTCAGCAGATGTGGCAGCATCTGTGGAGAGAAAATAGAGTTAATATTTTGAATCCTGTGACCAGATGCTGCCAGATCTGCTAAGTTTCTCCAGCACTTTCCATTTTTGATTTGGTAATGTAGCAAACTCCTGCTTTTTCCCCTTGTACATTATTTTTTCCAAAAAGTCATCCATTGCCCTCTAGAATGTCTCTACTGAACCTTCCTCCATCATATTTCCAGGCAATGCATTCCATACCCTGACTACTATCTTTTTTATTATTTATTCATGGGACGTGGGCAACACTGGCAAGGGGAGAGAGCAGTTAAGTATAAACCACATTGCATTGGGTATGGAGTTACATGTAGGCCAAACCAAGTAAAAACTGCAGTTCCCTTCCCAATGTTCTGGGGACCCAGGTTTGAATCCTGCCATGGGAGATGGTGGAATTGGAATTCAACAAAAAATCTGGAATTAAGAAACAATCTGATGTCCATGGAAATGGTTGTTGTAAAAAGAACACGCCCCCATCTATGTCAATGGAGCAGCGTTGAGAGTGTTGAGAGCATCAAGTTCCTAGGAGTGACGATAACCGACGACTTGTCCTGGACTTCCCAAGTAGATGCGACAGTCAGGAAGGCACAACAGTGCCTCTGCTTCGTCAGGACATTTGGCATGTCCACAAGGTCCCTCACCAACTTCTACAGATGCACCATTGAAAGCTTACTGTCCGGGTGCATAACAGCCTGGTACAGCAACTGCTCTGTCCCGGACCTTAAGAAACTACAGAAGGGGGTCTGCACAGTCCAGACCATCACGGACGCCAACCTTCCATCCATGGGCTCCATTTACATGGCCCGCTGCCGTGGAAAGGCTGCCAATATAATCAAAGACCCCTCCAACCTCAGTAATGCTCTCCTACAACTTCTTCCATCAGGCAGAAGATACAGAAGCTTAAACACACGCACTGGCAGGTTTAAGAACAGCTTCCCTACTGCTATTAGACTGATGA